CAATTACTTAGTTTGGAAATTGATACACATTTTGTAGAGATTTGTCTGGCAAATGGTGTAACAAACCTTACCTGGTTATCTTACCTGGTTCAAGCCTATCATGATCTGAAGCGGTTGTAACAAATCAAAATTGCTTTGATGTTACATAGTACCTTGTTGGAAAGACTGGAGCATGGTTCAAGATGATGTGTAAAAATTCAAGATTTGTGGGAAAGCTTGTGACTGAAGAACGAGAAAACAGTTCTATATGATGGCTCAATCAAACATGGAAATGGACGACAAAAGTAGAGTTTCAACATTCCAGCATGTGAGAATAACTTCAGAAATTCATAATTCTTGTAGTATTGCATTCTTCTTATGTACAGTTATAGGTTTTGTTAGGGTATTTGAAATTCATTGTGTCAGTTGAGATATAGATGGATTGCGGACAAATTTTAGAATCATTGCAGGGTAGCTAGGTATAAGGTACTTGTTCAGTAAAAGGGTATGTGATGAATGCCATGAGAAGGTTTTTATGATTTAATATATGGCCGTTGTTGTACCTACAAAAATGCAAGCTTACTAGCAACTAGTTTCTGAATCAACTCGAAAGTATTTGCCATGGATGTAAATATGTTCCTGCAAAGTTTGTCAATAAATTTGTGTGATGTTGACCAGAGAGCTTTATCATCTGGGCATTTATGTCGCTTCTTACATAAGGTGTTAAGCATAGTAATTACGGATGAACTTTGTGCCAATATCTTAAATGCACAATGTATGTAGCATGTCTACAACCCTCACTGATCTATATAGCTATAGGCATTTGGCACCAGCAAGACCAAGGGCATGAACTTCACAATTGCTCAACCTTTTGTCATGTACCACCAGTCACTTTTTTACTTAAGGTGCACATAGCAGTGCACACAACAATGTGCAGGGGGCCTACACAAAAACAACATGATTGTTGTGTTATGGTCCAACCCCCGCACGGCTGCTGGCCGCGCCTGCGCGCGCCCCTGCCGCCGCCACCGCTGGCCGCCCCGGCTCCGTGCCTGTGAGCGCCTCTGCCGCCGCCAGCTGACGGTGCGCGCCGAGCGGCGAGACTGGCGCGGGCGACGAGGCGCGGCGCTCGCCATACTTGTTTCTCTTTTGGACACTCTTTCGGCCTGAACGTATCGCAGTACAATAAATCGCGTTTTCCATTGATTGTGTGCTCTTTCACTCGAAACGAACCAAAACATAACAATGATTAGTGTGCACTATGCACAGGATTGTACCCTGATTATTTGAATATTTTGATCACTCAACAGTCAATAGTCAGGAGATAATTATTAAATATCACATTTATTATACATCACTTGTCAAACAAGAGCATGATGACACACATTTTGACAAGCAATTATGGTAGTATTCCAATAAGTTGGACAGTCATCTCCCTGGGCGTCATTTTTCCAGGAAGGTACCTCTGCAGGTGTTGTGGTAGGCTAGGTTGAATTGGGTCAAGTTAGGCGAAGTAAGGTCAGGTGGTTAGGACCCGGTCAGACCGTAAGGGTTGGTCAGGTTGATTTTAATCTTTCATTCTAATTTGACATAGATATCTATTACCTATGTTTTTGCTCCAGCCTGAATTTCATTAGGTAATGAGTTAATTTTGCTTTGTTTTTATCTGTCTTGTTTTGTGTTTTTGTCCCTTATATTTTGCCCCATAGGCAAGGGTGGAGCTTTTCCAGGGAAGGTGGTGGAGCATGATTGGGGGCGCTCAACCAGCCGGCATAGGAGGGCATGGTTTCTGAACGCGCACTGATGCCTGATTCAAGCCACGCTGTCTTCATGCGTGGCGGCGCGCTATTTAAAGTCCCTAAAAGAACGGGAAGTGATGCCGATAGAACCTTCAATCATTCTGGGCTAACGCTTATGACTTGGAAAAAGTCGCGATCCCAATTCAATCGAAAACCTGTGGGCTCTTGTTTAGCAGGTGTATGAAGAGCCACCCGCCATGACCCGCCATAAGCACTGCTCAACCGCAGGCACAGGTTTAGACGGCATTGGTCCGCATCAAAGCCAGTGTGCTGGAGAATCCATTGGCTGAAATGCTCCAGAACATTCGCCACTGTGTGGTTTCCTCATTTCCTCTCTGACTGTCCTTTGAAACCACTCCAAAGATATGCAGAAACCAACGAGGTGAGTAAACGAGGTGAGTAAACTGTGTTTTTTATGAAAGGTGGCTACAATCTCAGTTCAAAGAAAAGGTACCAGATTGTTTTGTTTTTACAGCGGGAAGAAAGGTGTCCGGATAATTTCGTTACACCCCCTGTGATGTTCAAATGATTGCTAAATTCGAACTCAGCTCCAAAAACTAGCCTAGAAACATGTAAAACTCGAAAAAGTGAACCGAGGTCATCAAAGGTCATTGAGCTGACCTGACCTTCAGGTGACCTTGACACCCACCCTAATGCATGGGACCAGCATCATATCACATGTTTCAACGCTTGAAACCACGTGAAGACTGCAACCGCGCGGCTAATGCGAGCCGACATACGCCGAATCGCGATTCGGGCCAAACATGGTCTCGAGAAATAGGTCACAGATCAAAGGTCATTTGGGTCAGGGTCATGAAATTTTCAGGGTAGGTGTAAAATTGATAAAATCGGGGTACTGAAAGTTTCGTCGCGATCGGACGGTTTTTACGCGAGTTACTCACGAAAAACCGATAAAGCGCACCCAAAAAGGCAGAAATATGCACATGCGATATCCTATACTGCGAAAAAAAGGTGCATCATTTTTGAACGTCGCCCACAAATTGTAATTACCCTAAGCTTAGGCAGATGTATGGTAGAAAACCCCCCAAGTGAAATACACTACGGCGGAAATAAAATACCCTACGGCGGAGCTCGGTTGCAATTTGTAAATACGCGCTCGGGGGTTAGCCAAGGCCGTATAAGAGAGGTAGAATCATCCCGCAATTTCCAATGGACCGGTCGCTAAGCATTAGCGTGACGTCACTGGTGGAGACCGCGCGGCGCCCGGCTCCAAGCCGTACGTCGGGTACATTTGGCACTTCATCGTTGTTATTACTGAACGTAACACTTATGACCCTTAATAACTTTTTTACCCACCTAAAGCTGATTTCCTTGCCGATACATTGCCGACCCGAGCCCCACGGTTGACAATCTTGGGATATGGGTCGGATGGGCGACCTCGCGACGGGAGAAGGAACGATTTAATTGTTGTGTCCCGCACCGCCGATTGCATTCTCTATCTGTACCCGGAGGGGGGGGGGGCAGGGGCACGTGCCCCCATCGGATCAGGGGGCCTCTCGGGCCCGAGGGGCCCTGCAGGGCCCCTTGGCATCGCATGCGACGCCAATTGGCGGCTGAGGGTCCACGCTGGCATTTTCGACTCAGAAGGGCCCCACAGGGCTCGAAAGAATACCTTATGTGCTCCGAATAGCCACACTTCTCTCCATAAGAGCCACACACCGGCTTTTTATTGTTCCTTGTCGGCATTTGAGGGCCCTTGCCGGCCTCTCAGGGCCCATTGGCGACCTCTGAGGGCTACTTGCCGGCCTCTGAGGGCCCTTACCGGCCTATCAGGGACCAGCAGCTCTAAGGGTTCCACACACGCCTGTGATGACCCCCTAAACCAATGGTTGAAGGCCCCCACAACGGCGCCTGCGAGGGCCCTCACCGGTGGCTGTGAAAGCCCCAAACCGGTGCCCAGCTGAGGGCCCCACACTGGCACCTCTGAGTTCAACCGGCATCCCTGAATGAAGTTCCAAAGGCCCAAACCAGTGCTTCTTCTAGAAATTGAATTTGCCGTGGGACCTTGAGGATCCTGGATCTTGATTTTTGGTCACGGCACAAGTCTGTTCTTAAGGCCATATATCGGCGGCTCTGAGGGCTCAACGCCGGAGCCTCTTACGGCCTAAGACGGGACCTTCGCATCGGACGGCCACTCACCGGTGACTTTTGAGGACCCCACACCGACGACTCTGAGGGCCCCCACCGGCGTCTGAGAGTACCTTGCTGGTCTCTGAGGACTCCACAGGGCTCCTGAAGACACCGCAGACCTCTTGAGGGCCCCTTGTCGGTCTCTGAGAGCCCCTGTCGGCTTATAAAGGGTTCGAGCCAGCAGCTCTAGGGGTCCCGCACCCGGCTGTGATGACCCCACACTGCAGTTGAGGGCCCACAGGCCACAATGGCAACTGTGAGGACCCTCACCAGCGCCTCTGAGGGCCACACACTAGCACCTCAGAGGGCCCGCAGCGGTACCTCTGGGGCCCCGCACCAATGCCTCCGAGGGCCTCACACCGGTACCTACCTCTGAGGGCCCACACCAGTGCCTCCAAAGGCTTCATAACCGGTGGCCCTGAGGGCACTACACCGGTGATTTTTGGGGGCCTACCGAAGGCACAACACAATCCCTTAGTCTCGCTGAGTTTCTATCCCAATCCCATACCGGCTTCTATCCCAATTCCGGCTCAACTAATTAGCAGCCCCCCCCCCCCAATGGGTCAGCGGCGCCGCGCCGGTGTCGGTGCCGGGGGCCAGCGCCATCGGGGCGGCAGTCGGCCACGCGCACTCAATGGTTAGCGCTTAGCACCGGCGGCTAGCGCACGCCCGGCGTGTTATTGGCCGTGAGCCGCTCCAAAACGGCTGCAGTAGCTGGTCGCAGATGAGAAGATGCAGGTGGATTAATGACCGGCAAGCTTTTGTGCTTTACGAGGGCGAAGGGTCGAAGTCGGCTGCTAAGCCGTGAGCGGATTTTATCAGATGCCGGTTCACTATGACCTTTATCCGGGTCCTGGTCCGCTGACGCACTCTTGGAGAGCCGAATCACAGCAAAACTCCATCCACGACTGTATCTATACGGCTTACGCTTTTCTGAAAACGTCTGCGTTTGGCCTACGGGCCCGGCCGGCCGGCCGGACGGCCCCGATTGGCGATCCACCAGTGACGTCACTGGTAGTGTTAAGCTGATTGGCGAATAATGCATGGGGAAAACCGGGACGACATCCCCCTGAGGGGTTAGCCTTGGCTCAGGTTGTGCTGTTGCATTTTGATTTGGTTCTGCATATTTTCATTAAATGGGATGTTTCTCATTCAAGCTATGTTATTTATTGATGTAGTTTTCTATATGCCCTGATTGATGTGTGGTGTATTTTGAAAAGTGTAGGACATTGGTTGTGTAAGTTGTGTAATTGGTTGTGTTGTTTGTGCTGTTTGATGAATGATCTGTTTTTTTTTGTGTGTGTGTTGCATGCCCTCTGTCATTGTCCTGTTATGTTTCATGTTAGCAGTAGCAGCGGAACACCTTTCATTAAGGGGGCACTGCCGACTTTTGGTCCCATTCTTCCCATGTAATGCCCATAGGGCTAATGTGAAAATGCCAAAATCAAAGGGGCCACTGTGCCCTGGTGCCCTCCCCATTCTGCAGCCTATGCATGTTGGGCAATTGTAGATATATTGGACAGGTATGTAGTAAAGAGCAAGTAGCATACGAATATATTCAAGTAGCAATTACATATAAATACGCGTATTTATCTATAAATATTATATCGCGTATTTATATGTAATTGCTACTTGAATATATTTGTATGCTACTTGCTCTTTACTACATGTTGGGCAATATTTAAGGCATATTGTAACAGGATAAGTTGGATTTCATGAGGAATCTGGCACTAGTCCAGAATGATTGCTACACACCTTGACCTCTAAATCATTGTAAAGCCTATTCATGCATGATTAGTCACCGTTTTATCTTTTTGATTGTGTGCCTAGGTGAAGGTGCACCTACCTATGCAACAATTGGCACATCATACTAAGGTGCACATGTGACAATCTTCCAGCAAGGCCACCAGCTAGCATAAACTTGGATGTTTCAACTATATTTTAAGCTATTGTTCCCTAATACTTCTTGTTCTGAAAGAAACATTACTTCTTGTTCTGAAAGAAACATTTTTATCCCAAAGCTATATGAAATGAAGTTCAATAGGTGGCATCATTATAGCAGGCATCTCACATGCCACCACCCAATTGTGAAAGGTCGCGCTATAAGCACTGTAACACTATAAGGTATAAACACTATAAGCACTATAAAGGTCGCACTTATAGACACTATTCTCCATTTACACAAATTTTGCTGATTAGACCTAACCTAACCTAACCTAATCTAATAATTATCAAATAGTCCTACAGAACAAAACATAATTAACCTGACCTAACCTTGCCTACTAACTTACAACCTGCAACCAACTGGCTTCAGCAAACCCCTACCTTCAACCTTCTCGCATACCTTCAACCCAGGAAACCTGGCATTTAGCAAACCTACAACCTTCAACCCACAGCAGAATTTGTGTAAATATCTAAGAACTGGAGAGTTGAGCGACTTCACAAATGTGTAGCAGCATGTGAGATGCTTGCTATAAGACTGCCCAATAAGCTTGCCTTGAACACAATTACATATGCCATATCATCATTTAACTGAAGGTTTGTGTTTGCTAGTTGAAACTTAAAACACTATTTGTTAGACTTGTGTTTAGGTATCTATTGAAAACAAACTTGAGCTCCCTAACATTTTTGCTAAAACTGCCTGAAATCAGTACCTGCATTAAGGGAACATTTGAGCTCTTTGTCACTGCCCCAACCTAATAGCATTGAAAGCCAGGCAGTAAAAGCACTGGAAAACATGGGTGGAGCTTTTCCAGGAAAGTTGGTGGGGCAAAAAGTTGTCAAACCTACAATGTCCGATTGTTAAATTAGATAAAATTCAACAATGAATCAATTCTTTTCATTACAGAGATAATATTTTGCATTACACAGACATTTCAAAGCTCCTCAATGCGAAAAACATAGGTTTGCTAAGCAGTAAAGTCCTGCAAATCGGCTTAAGTTGGTGGGGCAAAACGTTTATTGGTGGGGCAAAATGGCAAGTTGGTGGGGCAGGCGCCCCAGCAAGTGAATAGGAAGCTCCACCCCTGCTGGAAAATGCTTAAAATATGCCACTTGAGAATAAAGCTAAAATTCATCAAGAAGCTCAATAAAATGGAATCTTTAATGCCTGGTGGATGGTGGTCTTAATAAATTCCACAGGTCTAAATTACATTTTACAGAACATATAGGTATCAAACAGGCTCATCTGAAATAAGCATGCTATGGATTTAGTATGTCATCGTCATTTGGGATAAAAATGTACGTGAAAAAGTGTTTTGATGAGTGAAAAATGTTTACTGACTATGCTAAAAGCCATTGAGGTTTTTATCTTTACCTAGCTTAATCTCTTTTCAGTGCAAGGTTGCCTGTTGGAACGTTGTGATGTGTGCAGACCGTGAAGACGTTGGCACAGAAGAGCTTGATGGAGCAGAGGACGGCCACCTTCCACCACTGGAACGGCGCGTGCCTGTCCGCGGCACGCTGCCACAGTACGACACTCTGTCGGCCAGCTCCCTTCATATGACTACCACTGACACGGACTCCATGTTGTCAGGCGGCTTCAACCGCGGTCCCTTCTTCGCTTCGCCGGGAAAGGCCCTCCACGGAGAGTTTGTATTTCCCATCCAAGGTTACGAAGTGATGGAGGCACGATCTAAGTTCACCATCTTTAAGATGAAGGTGCAGCATGTGGCATCACAACAACAATGGTTTGTGTTTCGACGCTACACAGACTTCGCGCGGCTCAACAAGAAGTTGCGACTATCGTTTCCTGGTTTGCGCCTCGCGCTACCGCCCAAGCGCTGGTTCGGCGACAACTTTGATCCGTGTTTTTTGGAGGACCGTATGCTTGGGTTACAAGCATTCGTCACTAACATCACCAGTCATCCAGACATATCGCGGCACGAGGCGGTGCGCCAGTTCTTCTGTCTGGACGAGCCGCCGGACCCGCGCGACTCCCTCGAGGAGAGCCGTCTGCTTTGCGAGTCACTCGAGGAGACAGCCGGCTCGCAGGAGCTGCTGCTGAAACAGCGGGACCTGGAGATCGCCAGACTGCGTGCCCAGCTGGCCATGGTACGACAGCAATACGATGTTCTCGTGGCTCGTCTGAGGAGTGGGCGGCGACCGGGGTCGGCGGGGTCCGCCCGCCGTCGGCTGGGGCCGCTGTTGGGAGTTGACGGCACCCAGTCTGCCAGTCAGACGGACCTCCCTGGCAGCGACTCCGACGGACGGGAGCCACCTCTGGCACCGCTTCCTCCTTCATGCGAGCGGCAGTGACAAAATAGCAGTGGTAACAAGTGGTGGGCTTGTGGGCTCTGATCTGAAGGTCTATCTCATAAGCTGTGGGTCACCGTCCTGGATAGCTTACCCTCTTGGCTGTGTATTGGGGCCTGTGTGAACACTAGACAGCTTTATACGAGCACTTGAGTTTTCGGTTTCGCTATGCTTATTGGAGTTATTTCATTTTACGCTTTTGATGGTTTTCGGGATTTGTGCATTTCTGACAATTATTTACCACAAGTTCGTGCTGTAAGTTATTTCCATCAGCAAGGAAGACATTGCTCTAGCCGCGAGTCCAAGTTTATCACGTTATCAATCTTGATAAGGCGCCTAGAACAAGACATTGTTGAATAACTCGCTCTTTAAAATCTTGACTATATTTGATAAGGTAGATAGGTATCTGATGTCATATGTTATTGCTTGTAAAATATCTATGAGCGATAGGCTCATGAGAGGCGTAGGTATCATTATACACAACCGTACCCCAACCTCGAACTGCTTCGGTTGTTTTCAATAGAAAACGCAATCCTAACGAATAGTGTTATCTATTTCAAACAACTTGCGGTTATGTTTATACTGTATGGGATATTGCAACTAAATGTACTACAAGTCTTCCATTATTTAACAAGATAGAAATGCATTCGACCAAGAGTAAATAGTTTGTGTGCTTGAACGATTATTCTGTGGGAATAAAACACACATTGGAGAATTTATTTTCTGTTGGAGCCTTTTACTTCAATACCAGAAAGATAAAGAATCGTTGAATGAGCTTGCATGAGTCATGTTGACTGGCAAGTTGCGCTTCCGAAGATAGATTGCGAATCGTTACTTGATGTCTTAACCCGCGACCTGGCGGGGGGCTATTTTTTGCCCCCCTCCAGACTTTTCGATATATCTCCAGAACCGCTGCACCGATCGTCACCAAACTTTCAGTACCTTCCCGGACATCAATTTTACACATTGTGACCAAAAATTTTCCAAAGGCTATGATAGGTTGGCCGGAAATGACGTCAGAGTGACGTCATGTTCTGCCGTTTTCGACCCAAAAAAGGGTTTCGCGGGAAGAGCTGTCAGGCCTATAGCTTTGCAAATACAGAAAAATGATAAAACATAAGAGCTGTAGATTGGACAGGGCTACAAAACTGCTATCTCGGATTTTTGAATTTTTTTGTTTTGACCCCCAAAAATAAAAAAATAGATTTTTTGGATATAATAATAGAAAAATCCAAAAAGTTTTTTGAATTTCGCAAAAACCGGAATATATGTGATAGTTCTTACCGCCTTCCATCCACATACCAAATTTGAGATTGATGCCTCTTTTTTTGGCGAAGTTATAGCAAAAAAAAAAAACTTCAAAATTGATGACGTCAAATTTTCAAACTCAATTTTTAGCAATTCTAGACCCCGTATCGCAAAACAAAGACCACCATTAGACTCCCCGTAACGAGCTGCATCGAATCAATACCCATTTTATGCAAAACTATCAACTTTAAAATTTGACCTTTTTTGGCCTGACCTTGACCTGACCTTGACCTGAACTTCACCAGAAAGAAACCTAAGCCGTACTTGATAGTCTTATAACCAACACCATTGAGTTGGAAATGAAAAATTGGCCATAAAACATGTATCACACAACCTTAGTAAAGTTGGGCTCATGTGACCTGACCTGTGACCCTTGGTGACCTGACCTGTGACCTGACCTGGTATTGCCAGTGACCTCTAATAGCAACATATCTACTAGGCAACTGACGCCCTACCGCTGATTCTCGACAAAATGCGTTTTCCTCGGTGTTATAGCGCATTCCCTAGAAGACCCGTGAACGGTGAAACATTTCATCTTTGACCTGACCTGTGACGTCATCGGTGACCCCGAGGTCAATGAAATTTGGTTTCCTTCGACAAATTTGACAGGCCTTTCGAACGCCGTTTGAATTTTGCGGATCCGTCCAGTAGTTTCGGAGATACGAGGGGGGGCAAAAAATAGCCCCCCCCCCACCAGGTCGCGTTATAAACAGACCCCACCAGGGCGCGGGTTAATCAGCCAAGATGTACGACTGGTGGGAAAGGTAAACCAGATGGTGCGTTGTAAAGAACAACATTTTTATTTTATTTTTTTTCCAAAATTTCATTCAAAATTTTTAGACAGTACCAACGGCATGCTGTCATTTTTTGTTGCATGCATATTGCTACAGATGGCTGTTTTATAAACGTGTCTCAAGTCGGCGCCTCGCCGCCGGACTACGTTTTAATCTAAAATGGATGAATTTAATTGTATTAATTACTGTTTATGTAACATACATCAGAACATTTCTCGTAAATGACAACACATCTTGCAATTTGCCACGCTTTTCCTGAACAAACCCAGGGCCAGGCCAGCACGAATCGACTTAATTTACGACATGAAGTACTATTGCATCGGCCAGCTGTTGTTATCACTCTTGCTTACGCATTATTTGCCAGCTTGTCACGTGCCAGACGAATAACATCAGTTCCTAATATCCTCCCCCCTCCCCCCCCCCCGGTTCCCTGCTGCACTGGTGTCATGTAGTACCCTTCGAGACGTGGCTGTCCAAGTCATAGTTGGCAAAGCAGCGGAACTCATTCGCCAGATTGTTCGCATGCGCTGGTCGAAACCGGCACTCATGGAGGCCGAGTAGGCGACCGGCCAGCGGGGCCATTTGGGCACCTGTCGACACAGAAGGCAAACCGATGACGAACCTGACAGCCAAAAAAGCCGAGAAGACCCGAATCTCCGATGCATACGGTAAAAATAGGTAGGCTACATATGATCTGACGTGACTTTAAAAACACAATGATAAGAGCTAATAAAAATGTCCAGCCTGTAAATGCAACCCAAACAAGAATACAGGCTGGAAATATCAGTTTAGCACGCCAGATAAAGTGAACAGTTCAAGCTAGAGGAAGCAATACAAGTACAGGCTACAGCTGCTAATCGTACCAGTACACAGAAGAATGTGCTGTTTGGCCAGCAGCCGAACGGTGACTGCGGTCTTTGTGAGGCATTCTTCCGAGAGGAACGGTGGATCAGCGACCACGAGGTCAAACTGTTCGCGTAGGTCACCAGGTACATCCAGCGGGGAGCGGTAGTCGTACAGAACAAACTCTGGGCCGAACACACTGAATCGCTGGTCGTACTCAAACAGTGTCACTGAAACACAAGAGGCCGGTGAATGACAAACACATGCAAACCAAGGTGAAAGCGCAGAGAAAGGGGATACCGAAAGCAAGCGCGGTCGGGTTAAAATGCTTCCCGCCGCCGGAGACTTTACCGTTATTTTTGTTTCAGACTCACTTATTCGGTGTTCCAGGTCGGTTCCAAAGCTTTAAGTAATCAAATGACTTTATGTGAGCTATGTTTACGTATCAATTACATGTCTGCTAGGGTAAAGTTGGAAAAAATCACATCTCAGAAATATTATACTTTTAGTTCGGACCGTTGAAAGCATATCGGATGCACGGCTGTCATTTAGACAAACATCAGCTACTCACGTTTCAGTTCAGGCGGTCGGACCTTGCGCAAGTGCCGGTAGAGCGTGGGGCTGGACAGGCAGGCCACACGACCCGACGGACCAGCTAGCCGCAGCGCTTCGGACGCCAGAACACGACACGTGGCCTCATCGTACCAGAACTGACTCAGTTGCTGAAAAGAGGAGAGCCGGTCTCATAGTAAAACAATGCGAGGTAAATCTCCTAGCGGACGCAAAAAAAATGACAAAAAAGTTGTCAAAAGAAACAGCCGTCATCACACGTATGACGTTCGTTTAAAATATGACGGTAAAAAGGACAAGATGAAATTTAAAGGAAAAGGAAAAATCAGCCGAATTTTTATTAACATATCGACACCTTTTTGTTAAAGCTCACATTTGTTCTCCCGTGAAGTTCAGACAAGTTTTTTTTTTTATAAATTTAGTCCGAACCTTTTTGATAGGAAGGATTCACAAGGACAGAGCCACCGCTAAGCGAAGCTTGTTGAGGTGACCCTGCCCTCTACCCTCCGATCGCGCAATTCCGGTTCTATGGCAGAATTTAGAGTCCAAAGTAAAAAGTTTAACGTGCGCACATAGCCGCGCACGGCCGGTCCCCTCACTGACTTCGCCTGGCTACGGCCTGCCACCAACCGCAACCATACCTGTCAGGAGGCCCATAAATGTCAAGCGCCCGTCGCGCTTCGAACCCGGACTGTTATAACCGGGAACGCGTACTCTCACCACGCGGAGTCCAACGCTCTACCAACTGAGCTACGGGACCGGCTACTGAGCTACGGGACCGGCTAGTTGTTTAGAAAGTTTCAAAAAAGGTACAGTCACTCGATTTTTCTCAGGTTTGTCTGTCTTGGCAGTAGTGGTGTCAATCGGAACTTGAATCTTCGGAATTCCGATATTGTCCAATTTCCAATTCGGAATTTGGTTGGACAATGACAGCAGGCTTTGGACAACTTTGGACAATCGCTTGCTACACCTCATTTATAAAGTAATCGTGTTTAACATTGATTGGCCATTAGAAAGCTCAGTTTTCCATATGATTAACACTTTTGAGCTGGTAACGATACATTAAAAGCGAATTAAATAACGGTGTTGAGTGTAAACTATTACCTAGATGTCGGACATTTTTGGACAAATGGCTGGCTTGGACATTTTTGGACGGACAGTCGACGTAAGTATTGGACATTGGACGGACATTAAACATACGTTTTCTGAAATTGACACCACTACTTGGCAGATCAAGCAATGCCAGAGCAAGCTTACGAACACACAAATTTGATCAGGATCGGACGATTGGACACTTCTAAAAAGAGATCTTTCGTGCTTCCCGGAAATTCACCGGAGAACAGATGTGGGGTTTAAAAAAAGGTGTCGATATATTCCACCCTAGTATCCCTGGAAAAAGACGTATAGAGGGTTGAGAAACCCAGTCAACACGTCATGTAGTCACCGTCCGTTAGCAATTACAACTGTCCATTTACTCGCTCATTTCAAGCTTACCCAGTCCTCTTCGAAATCTGCCAGCTGGTCGGGGTCCTTGGCGGCGTCCTGCGCCAGCTGCTCCGCCTGCTGCCTACGCTGCTCCCGCTCCAGCTGCTCGGAGACGAACTCCTGCAGCGCAGACATGGTGAATGCCGACAGCTGCACGTCATCCTCTTCGTCCTGATCTTCAGCGGCTGGTGATCGCTTTTCCTTTACATCTTCACTCTGGTCGATCTCTTCTTTACTAGTTGATGTTATTTTGGCGCCGTTGCCTTCTTGGTATGCTTCGTTGACGTTAACTTCAGACATAACTTCGAAATTCAAAAGGTCTGAAAACAGGCAAGTCAATTATACCACATGTCGAAGAGTTATGCCCCTTGTGGCGCTCATTCATAACACATTGGGCTGACTCCCATGTGTTTCGTGAATTACTCAGCTTGCTTGTCAGATATCTTTAAAACAATTCAAATGATTGGGCAGGAAAATACTGATGAACAAAAATAATACCGATCTAAAGACAACGCCAGGTGAGATGACTGGGTTTCTCACGATTGTCATTTAGCGACCTCGATCCACCTGGGGGCGAATCAAAGAACTATAGGTTTGCAGGTGGCGCTCCAAGCGCATTTTGCCTGATTTCATGCATCTCCCATATTGCCAAAACTGAAACCCTTTGCAATGCAAAGCATGGGAGAAAATGCTCAGAACCAGTGAAACAGTTTTGAAGGGAGGCAAACTGCTA